ACAACCACAATAAAGTGAGTAGACTGGCTGGTTCGTTTCCCAGTGCGTACCAAAGTGATGGTGATTCTATTGTCGCCTACAAAGTGTGCCATGTTGTGTTGTGAAGTGCCACTGAGTTAGTTCTGACTCACGGTGACTCTGTATAGGGTTTCCAAGGAGCAGTTGGTGGGTTTGAACCTCTGGCTTTGTAGTTCAAACAGATCTTGAGGTGCAGTGCTGATTTATCACTATAGCACCTGATGAAATAAATTTGGTGTATCGGGAAACAACCTAAATGAACACAGTAATCCAAAGTGAGCACACAGTTGGAAACAGTGCTGGCAGACTTGCTTGACTCAGGGTGGTCAGAGACCGCCTGTTTGCAAAAAAACCCCACCATAGAACATCTGCAAAGTGCAATCAAGAAAACACAGGAAAATGAGGTTGGCCTGTGTAGAGATTTTAATTTAACAGGACATTTTTTTTTTTTTCATGAAATGTTAAGTGTCGTTGAGTTGGGACACTTTCTAGCAGAACAAGACACTTCCGGGACCTGCACCATCCTCGTAACTGTTGCTGTGTTTGAGCTCACTGCTGTAGCCACTCCACCCATGCAGTTCCTTGGGGAGCTTCCTCTTTTTCATCGACTCTCTCACTTTACCATCCGGGGACTGGTTCCTCCTAATGACAGCTCCAAAGCCCATTAGATGAATGAAACAGGAATGGCTGAGTGGATTTTAGGGAACATGCTGTATTTTCAGCACTCTGATGTACAACCGTGTACCACAGAACGTTTGTTAGTTAGTGCAAGGCCAGACCGCATACACGCCTATGGTCCCAAAAAGTTTTAACAGAATTCAGAAATCTATGCAACAACTTTCCTCACACAACATGTGTACCTCATGTCTCTGCATAGACAGTAGAGACACAACCCTTAGCGCAAGTTTGAGGAGTCATGATAAACGCCTGTGTTCCTGGCTTCCACAGGTGCTGTGCTGAGCTTCCTAGCTGAAAAGTGTACGTAGAAAGCAGCATCTGACTTAGTGCACATTACATCTCGTGAGTGTTGTAGTGCTATCTCTGTCTAATTTTCTTTTGAAAATATGACTGTGAAGAGCATCCTGGCTCCTAAACATGGCTAAACCAGTGCTAATGAGAGAGAGCAGAGCAAGAGGCAATAAGTATCGATTATGAAGTGGAACAAAAGGCTGTTAACACAAGAAGGGGAAATCAGTGAAGGCTGTTGCTCCAGATTTAGGCATGTTGACAATCACAAAGGTCCTCAAAACCAAAGGGGAAAAAAAAAAAATCTCCAACCTGTTAGAGGCGTGTCTCCCCTGCAAGCTACAGGTAAATGAAAATTCAAGAGACTTGTGTCAGACCGGGGGAAGACGCTAATGACCTGGATTGAGCGCCAACAGGAAAGCACAGTTGAGGCACAAACCTTGTTCAAGATACTTAGAGAATGAGCAGGATGTGAGTAAGACAGGGCACTTGTATGGGTCCAAAACACACAGCATCCTGTTTCACAGAACATATTGTGGACATTAAACTACACACGGCTGTACTTAATTTTTTAAAAATTCAGACTAATCCCAACTGCTTTTATTTAACATTGTTGTTGTCGTTGTTACGTGCCGTCGAGTCTGTTCCAACCCATAGCGACCCTTATAGGGTTTCTGAGGAGCAGCTGGTGAGCTTGAACCACCAAACTTGTGGCTCAAGCAGACTTTGCAGTCCAGTGTATTAACTTGCAGCGCCACATTTAAATAGAAGTTCTCCACACCCCAGCTGCTTCAAAATAGGAAAACATACAGCTGTCAAAAGCACAGAAATTTCACATGGATTGGGATAAAATAAGATGATAATTTACAAAATAGTTTATTAGCTTTTTCATTAAATAAGAAACAAAGATGAAGCAGAAATCGATGAGTGAGACTGCATTTGGAAAAACAGATCTCCTGCACATTTGAAAGAAACTAAGTGTTGATTTTTTGGATTCAAGAAAGACAAGTTCCCTATAGAAACCTTGGAAAATGACAAAGAAGGGAATAGAGAAAATATTAATTCGCCAGGATCTGACACTCCACTCTGCGGTTTACTCGTTTCTGTGTGTATTTCTACCAGTTCACTAAGGCTCTTCTCGCAGCCACGGTCCCTCCTGGGACTTCAGCCCCACAGAGCTTGGACAATGAACGGCCAGCCTTACTTACACCACCCAGCCCACCCCAGAGCAATGCCAGCACAGTCCTACTCCCCAGAACCGCCAACACACAGCATCAGCCACTCCTTCACTTTCGAACCCTCTGAAGATGCCTTCTCGGCACTAACCGTGACCTTTTACAACGTGCATGGCACGTTTAGTTTTTAAAAGTTCTTTGATGCACCCATAACCTTCCCTGGAGGGAGACGGAGACAGAGAAGATGGTTCACTTGGCAGGAGAGAACCAGGCGCAAAGCAGTAGAGTGAGGTCAGAGGTTAGTACCTGGCCATTGCTAACCTTTTTTTTTCCCTTTAAGGTTTTTTGTTGTTGTCAGGTGCCATCGAGTCGGAACCGACTCATAGCGACTCCATTGCAAATGAAGAGTCTGAGGTGCTATAATAAATCATCTAGCCAAACTCCATTATTGTACACACAGTAAGGAAAAGGAGTCTCAGAGAAGCTAGGTGATCTCTGAGTGGATCAAAGGAGCCCTGTGGCACAGAGGGTTAAGCACTGGGCTACGAACTAAAAGGTCGGCGGTTCAAACCCACCAGTCGCTCTGTGAGAGACCGGTGAGGCTCTGTGCTTCTGTAAAGATGGCAGCCTGGGAAACCCTGTGGCACAGTGCCTCGCTGTCCTCTAGGGTCATTATCAGAAGTGAGTGGCCGGCAGTAGGTTTTCGTTGGTGGATCTAAAGGCACCGTCTGTAGATGGCCAATCCAGAGCTCTCCCCAGCGGGCCCGGGAGATGTCCTTTAATACACTGGCTTCTCATCTGCTTGTTGTTGTGGTTATGTGCCGTCGAGTCGGTTCCAACCCATAGCGACCCTGTACAGGGTTTCCGAGGCTATAAATCTTTACGGGAGCAGAAAGCCTCATCTTTCTCCTGCGGAGCAGCTGGTAGTTTCGAACTGCTGACCTTGCGGTTCGCAGCCCAATTCGTAACCACTACGCTACCAAAGCTCCTTTCTCATCTGCTTAGCCACATGTTAACCAGGAAAGAAAATCCTACAAGTGTGGAGTGTTAGCCATCAGGGCACTGAAGGACCAACCCGGGCACCCTGCCTTCTTCGCAGGGGAACACGTGAGGTCCAAAGTCAGAGCCAGGCAGGGCTTCCGCAGTTCAGTCCTACGCGCTCCGCTCGAGCTATGACTGTCCTTCCGGTTGCAGTTACAAACACAATCTGGCTGGAGCTGGAGATGTTGGCTTCCTCCTCTGAGGTGGCAAAGCGAAACCAAACAAGACGGTACACTTAGAAGACACCTAGCTGGTAACAGGTGGCCTCTGTGACAGTTTCAAAAAATAAACACGTTCTGCCGGGCTCCAAGGCCCCCTTGCTTCTCCCCCTACATCCAGCGCCCACCTCATCTTACCAATAGAGATAGAAGTATATCTGAGGACAGAACCCCCACGGCCCCCTAAAGCCACAAGTCCCTTTAATCTGTGACAAGATGGAGTAGTCTTGCTAAAGGCTCCTACTTGTAAATCAACCAAGAAACCTAATATAAACAGGCAGCATATCACCAAGGTCCCGTAGACCCCTAACACCTGGTGAATCCCACTCTCCGTGCCCCATTCAGCTCAGCTCCAGTGTGTATACACTCCCTTGATTCTTCTGGGGTCTCTCTGTCCGCGGAGACTGAAGGCAGTTGGCAGACAAGGAGCCACTCATTGGATGAACATTTCGCCATGCCCATGCAGCATGGAGGGTCAGCTCTGGCCCCAGTGCTCAAGAACAGGACAGAAGATAAATAGACCATATGCCAAGCCCGAAGGCAGACCTGGAGATGAAAATGGAGCCCAGGAGGGCAGACCCTTGGATCGGGCAACGGGCTGGGTAGCTGTCTTCAAGGGCTAGTAGAATCGGTAAACCCAAGGAAGTGGGAGGGCCAGCTGGGCAGGCAGGCTGACAGGCCAGCGATGGCCAAGCCAGGTGCAAAATGCTGCCCTTCGAGGGATCAACAGTTAGATGCTGCTTGTCAGGGAGCGGTGGGAGTGCAGGCTGGAGAAGTGGGCCTAGTGAGGTGGCCTCGGGCAGCGAATGCACAAGTTGACCATGGACCTGCCTGACCATGGACCTGCCTGAGACGCGCTGCTCAAGTAGTCGAATTGGGGCGCCCAAGGCCAGCTGTGTCCAGGGCCGCCAGTTGCCGCCCCCTCCCCCATACACCTGTGCGCCTTCGCAGCTTGAAAAACAAACAAGGGGACTTGGTGCCAGCAGGTCTTCAAAGCAGGCCGCAAGTCCCCTAGCCGCTGGCACTGCGTCCGGCGCCCCCTCCCCAACCCAGGCCCCCCTTTTCTTGCTGCTTGGGTTTCAAACGCCTGTTGACGCACTGTGGCGGGTGCCTGTGTACTGGCGGGGTTTCCCAGCCCGGGCTGGGGCGGCGACAGCGTCCTTGGCCTGGCTGGCACTAGGCCGGGCACGGCCCCCAGAAATGGGCTGGTGCCAGCGGGACTTGCGAAAGGCGCAGTGCCGAGAGCCGGCTACCCGGGCAAGCGCAGCGTGGACACCAACTGGGCGCTCTCCCGCGCTCCCGCCCCGCGGCAACTCCACACGGGCCGGGGGCGCGCGCTCCGAGAGGTGGGCGGCCAGGGAGCGCAGGATCCCCGTAGGGCGCTCCCGGCGGGCAGGGTTCTCCCAGTGGTCGACCAGGAAGCGCGGGTTCCGGGAAGGGAGGGCGCTCGGGCCAGGGGGCGCGGGCTCGGGCTCCGGGCGGGCCGGGGACTCGGGCGCGAACTCCGAGTAGACCCGGGGCGCGGGCTCGAACCCGGGCGGAGCGGAGGGAGCGGGCTCGGGCGCCCAGGCCCCGTCCCTACCTGGCCAGCGTGGTTTTCCCGGAGCCCGGGAGGCCTCGCAGGAGGTAGAGGTGTTTCCTGAAGCTGTGGCGGCGCGGGGGGGTCCGGCGCGGGGGTGGCGGCCGGGGCTGTTGGGGCTGGAGGCTGAGCCTCCCAAAGGATTCCAGAAAACTCTCCTCCATGGAGAGGAGGCCGGCTGCCAGGGTCCGGGTGCCCGAGCCCCGGTCCCTGAAGTCGCGGTCTGGGCCCGAACGGTTGTTTTTGTAGCTCTGGGGCCATGTGATAGATGGAGGGCGGCGCTCCGAGCACGGCTCCTCCTCTTGGCCGCCGGAACCGCACGGACAGGGGGCGCCCCATCGGGACGCGGACCCTCCGACATCCCCTAACACCACCACTTGACTGGCCTGGCCTTTGAAACCCAAATAATTGTAGTTTACCATTAACAAGCGCGAAAAGCATTTTCCATAGCGACAGCTGGGCCATGGCCTCCCCCAGTTGGCGGGCAGGTCAGGGTGGGTAGTACCCCCAGAGCTAACACCACCCAATAGGTCCTGCAGCTGCTTTCCTTCCTTCCTTATTCCCTTCCTCCCTCCCTTTCTTCCTCATCTGCTTCGCAAAATATTCTTAGAAAGCTTTGTTGTCTCTCTCTAACTTGAAATCTCTTCCTCGCCCCTCACTAGCAGCAGCAAACACTAGGTCTGAGCTCCGCGCGGGGGCATCTGGATGTGGCCTTGTCTGGGAACCATTTCAGTCACCAAGGGAAAGTGGCAGTGTCGCCGAGGAAATTTGGAGAAAGGTTTCCAGAATGATTTCCAGGTTCTGGCATTGTTGGACACGGCTTGATCACCGGCACTACTTCAGCTTCAAGAGCAGCTAGTTTTCTGAACCCAAACTCAAGATGCAGGGGTTGAAAGACAAACTGGTCCCATCTGGCACTATGCGGGGAAAGTCCAGGTGGATGGGGGCTTTGGCATCCTGGTGTGACACTGCGGATTAATGCACTGGACTGCAAATTCAGTTTGAACCCCAACGTCCGTGGTTCCAGCTCACCAGAGGCTTCTCAGAAACCCTATATGGTGTCACTATGGGTTGGAACTGACTTTACAACAACGTGGGGGTTTGGGCTGTAATGATTATTGCAAAGTAGATAAATTTGGTTTCTGGCAGCTAAGATATGAATGTTATGAAAAGGCATTGTAGTATGTGACCCTGTATATGTTTGTATGGGTTTGAACCACCAACCTTACAGTTAGCTGATCCTACAGTGCCACACACCAGGACTCCATTGGACAGTGTTGTTGTTGTTGTTAAGTGCAGTTGTGTCGGTCCCGACCCATAGACTCTTTATAGGGTTTCCTAGGAGTGGCTGGTGAGCTTGAACCACTGACCTTGCAGTTCAAACCAACTTTACAGCACAGTGCCACACTAGGACTGTGTTGGGCAGTGGGTTGTTGTTGTTGTTAAGTGCTGTCGAGTTGGTTCCGACCCATAGCAACCCTGTATAGAATTTCCACAGAACAGCTGGTAGGTTTGAACTGCCAGCCTTGTGGTTCGCAGACCAGTGTTGACGCACAGCGCCACATCAGGACTCCTCAGGCAATGCTGTTGTTGTTGTTAAGTGCCGTCAACTCGATTCGAACCCAGAGCAATCCTGTATGGGGTTTCCGAGGAGCAGCTGGTGAGCTTGAACCACCGACCTTGCAGTCCAGATGATTTTGCAGTCTGACTCATGAGCCCACAGCACCACACCAGGCCCTGTCGGGGAGCCTAAAATCAGAGTCATTTGGTGTGTAAACAGTGCGCTTTAGCTCCCAGTTGCCTTTCCTCACAGCACCTCCTCTTGCCCTGGTGCAGACCTAACCCTCGACCTAAGGGAGACGTTCCTCTTGGCTGAAGACCTACAGGTGCCCAGAGCACAGTCTGTTTCCAGTGGGCCTCTCCTCTGAAGGCCACCGGATGCAGGACGTGAGCACTTACACCTGAGGGTCTCCATACACAGCATCCTCAACCCGTCTTTACAGTGGACCCTGGAAACAGAGCTGACTCAGGAAGTAAGTTTTATAGCAGGATTACCCAAAAAAACAGGTAACACCACTGAGAATGACGGTCCTGTAACCAACTGAAGGGCACCCATGCTGGTACCTAGGCCCCGACATGTACAATACCTCACTCTTCTTCATCCTGCCTTGGTCTCCCCTGATGGGCTTTCAGCAATCATGGTTTTGTAACTTTAGTTCTGGTTCTATCTGGACAGAAGTGATTTCGTCCTCACTGTCCAGTGGAGCTGTCAGCCTCACCCTGTGAATGTGGAGCGTGTCTGTCCCTCACTAAAACGGCTCCTGCTTTTGCTTTAAGCAACCCCCTTCCTCCAGATGCTGCTCTGCAACAAAGTCCAGACCTCGGTCAGTGAGTGTGGGAAGGGCTCTTTGTTGAGAAAGTCACCTGCCCTGAGGATCTTCCCTTGATGCTGTGTGAGGGTGTATATGAGAGTGTGAGTGTGTGTATGTTTGAGTGAGTGACAGGATTGTGTGAGTTCATGTGGGTGTGAGTGTAAGACAAAGTGTGTGAGGGTGTGTGTGAGAAAAGGTTTGTGTAACGGTGAGTGTGTACGTGTGTGCATGGGGGTGAGGATGTGTATGTGTGTGTAGGTGGGGTTGAGTATGTGGTTGTGTGAGCTGATCTCCCTGGAAAATCCTTGTCTCAGTATGGAGGACGGGTACTTTCTGGATTCTTCTCAGCTGAAAAGCACTAGAATTTCCAATGGTTTCTCCAATTAGGGCAAAACCATAAAAAAAACATAGTATACATGAATCATAAAAATAATGAAGCTTATGTAATGTATGTACTGGCCCTACGTCTTATAAGAAAGTCCCAGGCCTTTTTTTCATTCTAGAACTGCATTGTGGAAGAAGGAAGCCACTTGCCACATGTCGCTCCTGAGCACTTTAACTGTGGCCAGATGAAAGAGTGCCTTGAGATGAGAAGAAACGGAAGGTGCCTAGCTACTGTTACTGAATGCTTCGATCAAAGTTTCTATAGAATAATCCTGACCAAAGAGGGGAATATGCAGAACAGCATTTTAAATTCTGCAGTCACGAAGCCTTGATGCGCCCCCAAAGCTATAAGCCTTAAACTAGAATACCCCCTAAATTCGTGTTAAAACCAAACAACAGATTAACTTCATTAGGAAAGATCCACCCATCTGAGATGGAGCTACCATCAGCCACTCAGAAGGTCACAGAGGAATCTGAGGGACAGCGAGTTTATGTTCACAGGGGGCAGGTGGGGGCACTGTTCAGAAAGTCAGGATGAGCACAGTGATACAGTGTCACTGACGTGTATACAGGGAGAAACTGGAAAGTAGTGTCTGTCCTGCCGTGTATTTTCTCAACAACAATAAATAAATAACATTAATTTAAAAAAAATACACACCAGATTGCAAAGATGTTGCATGAATAAAGGCATGGGAAGTAAATCATTAATAATTTTAAGTGGTTTGCATCTTGACAAGTTAATATTTGGAGCAGGGATTTGAATGGTTCAAACTGGTTAGTCATGGCCAACTCATCCAAATTGAAACTGGCATGAATTTGTACAATGGGGTGTCCCAGAACAGTAACTGGAATGGGGGAAATGGCAGGTGGTAGCTCTTTCAGGAGCCGATGTGGGACATGGCATTGTTGGGAGTCTGGGCAGAGGAGCACACAGTCAAAGGGACATAGTCAGCGCCATCTTTGAGCTGAGCACCACTGTATACAGTTTCCCCATCAGGAGGTTTGGTTGCTATGCAACATTTATGCTGCCTTAGTTTCTAAGTTTCTAAGGAGATTACATTTCTAGCCAGGCCCACTAATGGTCCGGTTACTCACATTTTACAGATTCCATTTCATACCAGTTACACTTTTTTGGCCATGACCAGACCAGAAAGAATTGGTTCCGAGCTCTGCTTTGGGGCACACTGGGGTAACCTAGTATTAAATTCCTCTCACCTCTGTCTCATCACTCCTTCAAATGTGGCTACTTTCTAAGTTCCATATGTGGCTCCACTGTCTTGCCATTGGATGGGCTTTAGGAGATGTTCCTCCTGCGGAGGGGCTGCGGGCAGCAGGCCGACATGCGGTTGTGGGGGCTGGAGGATGAGTTCAGGTTCTAGCAATGGGGACTTTACTTACCACTAGCAGGTGGACTTCTCTACTAGACGCTGCGGAGTATGAGTGTGTTGTTCACAAAATAGCTTTGGAAAGCCTTACCCTGTGTCTTCGTTCTATAGTGCGGCTCTAACAAAATACCACAAGGGGGTGGTTTAACAAACAGAAACGTATTCTTTCACAATTTAGCCGGGAGACGTCTGAACTCAGGGTGCTGGCTCTCCCTCTCTTTGGGGACCCTGGGGAAAGCCTTGTCTCTTTTCCTTCGTGACTTTTGTGGGCTGGCCTTCACCACCCAAAGTAACAATCCCACTGCCATCGAGTCAATTCCAACCCACAACAACCCTCCATAGTGTTTCCAAGGCTGTAAATCTTTACAGGAACAGACAGTCTCATCTTTCTCCTGCAGAGCAGCTGGTAGGTTTCAACCGCTAACCTTGTGGTAAGCAGCCTTGTGCTTAATCTGCTGTGCCACCAGGGAGGGCTCCCTCTACACCAGGGATTCATTTTAGGAGGGTGACCCAGCATATGCAAGTATATCTTACCCTAAACATGTGACTATTTCTGCAGAAAATGGATGATGGTGCATGTTAGGTAGGACAAATCAGGAGGAAGATTAACCAACCTCCTGTCACTTTAGGTTCGTTTTTGCTGTCAAATTAATGTTCATGCCAAAAGTATCATTATTAAATTTTAAAAAAAAAAAAAACTACTTTTGGCTTTTAGAGTATTTTGCATTTCAGAAATCCAGAAATAGGATTGTGGATTTATGCTTGGACTTAAGGCCTACATTTCCAAACCCACTGTAAAAGCTTCTTACACAGCAGGTGAAGTTCCCGTTCAGCAACTTCTACCCAAGTTGTTCAGTGACACTGGTCACACTCTTCACAATGTGTGGACGGACAGTCTCATAATTTCCTTTCTGGTTCTGTTATCATTCATCTAGTTTCCCTGGCCCCTGACCGTCCCATCTTTGTTTCTCTGGTGACCACTTGGTTTTAACAGGTGATTCTTTTTTAAAGGAGCCCCTTACG